GTGTTGGTCATACAGCTTCTGCACCCAGCTCTCGTCTGAACCTTTGGGCATCTGGTCATAGACACAGACAATGATCACAGAGACTACAGCACTAAAAATGTTCACTACAACCAATGAGTTAAACTGACCCTGCACTCCTCATCTAAAAGATCAAACAGGCCCAGTTGGCCCTCTACAAGATTGATGCACTGCTGATTGTCGCTGAACTCAATCCTGTTCCAGGCCAGCTCTTCCCGGACATATTCCTCCTGCTCCAAGTGGAACACATGCTGCAGGCACAAAACACAAAATAAAAAATTTTTAAAAAAATAATATCATAAGGTTGCAACAAAATTAAATGGATGACCTGTCCATCCTGAGTATGCTTGAAAAGATCTAACACAGTGCGGCTAGCTTGGCTGTGAAGAACAGGTCATCACACTGGGAGGGCAGTTTGTGTGTGTTTCCCTCTCAACAGAGAGGCTAAGACAGACCCTTCCTCCTGCATTTTCTAACTACAAGGAAGACAAGCCTTTATTCCCTAAAACCAGAAGAATATAATATGATTTTGGAAACGTTCCACCCCTTAAAAAAGTACACCATACTGTAGGAGAGAAAGAGGGTACACACATGCATTAAAATGTGCATTTACTGATGGAAATCAACACTAAAAGAAAAGGATGAAAAGAAACTGTTGCTGTATTCTCAATTGGAGTTTGTGATGATGTACTCCAGTCGTGACAGGACTGATACCTTGAAGAGCTTAACAAAAATAATGTGGCTACTGCCTGGCACGTGCAAGTACAATGGCTGTAGACACACACACACACACACACACACACACACACACACACACACCAAAACACAGAGGGACAGGAAGACATAACTTACCCTGTTGAATTGCTGTTGCAGTTTTTCATTGGCATAATTTATACAGAACTGCTCAAAACTATTCCGGTCAAAGGTCTCAAACCTGCTCCGAGACAGAAGACACGTCAGATGAACACACTGAACACAACCTTAAGACTATTGCATAATATTTCTAACACGATAAAACAAACTTGTGTAGGGTGTAATACGGCCATAAAACATATTTGTATCCAGTGTCACAAAGCTCATCGCTTACCCATAGATGTCTAGCACCCCTATAAAGGATTTAGCCTGTCCCCTCTGGGAGCTCAGAGCAGAGTTGAGCCTCTGGACGGTCCATGTAAAGAGCTGGCCATAGATGTGTTTGGCAAGTGCATCTCTGGCTTCTATAGCCTGCTGACCGGAAATGGGTTTGACCAGCATCTCTCCCCCTACAGCCAGTCTGCGATGACACAGCCAGTGGGCCATCTGAGGTGCTTCCACTCCTAACAGCTTGGAAAAGACAGCCAGAGAGCGGTCGTCTGCCTGAGGAAAAACAAAGGACTCAGGTACCTGCTACAGTATGTGTATAGCACTCTAGGGGCAAAAGTCATAGAGTAGAAAAACATTTCTTACATTAATATAACTCCGGTCAGACCTTCTCCCGCTGGCTTGGATGTTGACGTTTCCCAGGTGCAGAACAGCTGACAGGATCCTGAATAGCTCCATCTGTTGGTCAGGCTGCACACCTGCAAATTTTTATTTTGCAAATGCATTAACAATTTTATTTTAAGGACATGATTCAATTTGACAGAAATCTGACCAGAGTCTGAATAGTTGTATCCTCAATTATCCTCTCAGAATTTACATTGTGTGTGTGTGAGTGTGTGTGTGTGTGTGTGTGTGTGTGTGTGTGTGTGTGTGTGTGTGTGTGTGTGTGTGTGTGTGTGTGTGTGTGTGTGTGTGTGTGTGAATGCAATTACTCTACCCAGAATGGTGAAAGCATTACGAGTGCGCTCCAGGTCTGACAAATCATCAGTATCAGGAATCTGCATGTCTCCTCCCTGGCTGGTGTAGCGGAAATGCTCAGGTGCGTCTGAAGGTCAAAACACAGACATGGACATTATAATATGCACAATACCTTATCGACACAGGTAAGGGAACAAAGTGTAGACATGGTAATATTTTGCGTACAAAGCGGGGGGTTCGCCTGTGATTAAGTCTCACCCAATTTAAAGGATCTCATTTCAGGCAAGTCTCTGGAGGCACACAGCTGGTAGAAGATGTGGTAGTTCCTCTCTGCTGATGCCTTAGACCCACGCAAACATACAGACAATGTTCATGAACATTTGCAGGAGAAACATGTCACCTCGTCTCAAATGACAGATTCTTATGTGTCATGTTTTTATCATCATTCTGGTTAAAGAGCTTACTTGGAAGACAACCCTTGACTTCTCCAGTAGATACGTCCTCATGTTTGCCGCAATGATGTCCCCTTTTCTGCCAAAGCAGATCTTGATGTACTTCCCAAAACGACTACTGTTGTCATTTCGTGTGGTTTTGGCATTCCCAAAAGACTGTAGGTAAAGGAATGTGATGTTTGTATCTTTAAAAACAGACATTTCTCATTCCTAAGTAACAAATCTGTTAATCCATCCATCACCTCCATGATAGGGTTGGAAGCCAGAACCCTCTCCTCCATGCTGGTCTGCTGTGCTGTTCCGCCAACTACAGCAAAGTAACGCATGGTGAATTTGGCTGAAGCCGTTTTCCCCGAGCCAGACTCTCCACTGATGATGATGGACTGGTTTTTCTCTTCCCTATACTCAAAGAGAGCAGTGAAATCTCATATAGTGAAATTATGTGGAGCCCATCAGTGTTGTTGCAGGTTCAAATCATAAGCAAGAGAGTATAGAGAGCATATTCTAATTCATGTACGTTTTACTGTAGAGTTTGAAAGGTCAGCAAACAGCCAGTTCCTGGTTGTCATAACATGACCTCCAGCCTTTGACCTCTGACCTGGTCATAGTGCGGTAGGCTTCCTCAGCCACAGAAAAGATGTGAGGTTCCATGTCGGCCATGTCCTGACCACTGTAAGCATCGATCACCTCCTCTCCGTATATGGGGAGCGGGTCATAGGGATTGATGGCTACCAACACAATGCCTGGAGGGAAAGGAGAAAAAAGTAACATCAGCACCAGAGTGTGGATTTTGATAGGACAATTCTTATTTCATAAGAATAAAAAGGTATTTCATAAGATAGAAATGAAGTGCAGTAGTTGTACATTACATTTCTTCATTTAGCTGATGCTTTTTTTATCCAACATGACTTTCAAATGCCATACATGACAGAGGTCACACACCCCTGTAGCAATGAGGGGTTAAGTGTCTTGCTCAGGGACACATTGGTGGATGTGTCACAGCTGGAACTGTGTCTCCCACACCAAACGCATGTGTCTTATCCACTACCACCACATGTTGTCATTTTAGCATCCAATGTCAAATCTGAATCCAAAAGCACATTTTCTAAAACCCACTGCGAGTACTTTTAGCCAAAATGAAACTAAGCACATGTCACTCATAATTATAGTATATATAGAGTATAGCCACACGACATGTCCATTTAATAGGGTTTTAAGACTAAAACCCTGCAAGGCTGGACAATCATTGCTGTCTGAACAAGATATCCTTAAATCTCCCTCAGTCGTTTGCTTTTGCCCATTCAATGCTCACCACAGTACGTGTAGATGCTACTGTAGTCCAGGAATCGAACCCTGAGGTTGTGCAAGACAGCAGGTTCATGGAGGAAGCTGAGAGCTGTTAGATCATTTTCCCCCTCCAGGATGTTGGGGTTTCCCAGTGGTGGGAGATCAGAGGGGGACACTACTGGGTACTGGACCTCCTACCAATGGAGATGGAAGTTAGGAGTTAAAATAAAAATAGCAAGGACACTGGGGCTCAGCATGATGCTGGTTTATCAGGGCCATGATATTGGAGGATTCACTTTGTTTTTTGAGTAATATAATGGTACTACATGTCTCACCTTTCCATTACAGAGCTGTAGCAGTAGATGTTTCTCTCCAGGACTGTAATCCTGGAGGAGCAGGGCTGACACCCAAACTGCATCCGGGTCAGGAATCCACACACTTGCTCCCTATGAAAGCAGTAAAATGTTTCAGGTATGTGTGAAACTTTAAGAATTCAGATAGAATAACAAAGAGGGAAAAAGATACTGCAACAACACGTTTGGTGTGTTTTGGACCCATTGTGGAGAGATTTTCATTACATATTTCAGTTTCTGCCCGGACACTGTTCCTAACCCACCCAGCCAAGACATTTGTCCCCCATCAGCATAAAAGGCTCCTAAACGGTGTTAAAAATTAACACTGGTCATTCTGCCTGCATGGATTAGCCATTATCTACTTTTAACATATGCGATATGCTGTGCCCATTTTACAACTTAAGTTTAAATTCATACTTTGATAACTACAGTTTTATACATTTATTGACCACCACGTTTACAGAAATAAGGATGCAAGTTATCACAGCTCATCTATCATGAACTGTATTGGCTGAAGAACAAACAACAATCAGAAAAGGTTATCATTTGGGCACAAGCACTTAGGGAAACTGGGAAAGGCTAACACATAAACCAGTTATGTCATAAAAACACAATAACACTCACATCACTAGCAATGTTGTTTTTGTATTATTACTCTTTTAAAGGGCCCACAGATGGTGGCACATCACTTCAGGACAGTCTCACCTTGCTGTAAAGCTCCAGTGAAGCCATCTTAACTACTTTGAAGCATGCAGGGTGAGGTCATTTTAAACGAACCAAGAGGTAACATCTACAAGTCCCTTTTGAAAGAACGGTCGGTATCCTCCACACTTCTGCAGGAGAGACACTTTGTGTCCCGGGTGAGTATTTTGCACTTTGTCCAGGCTCAGACAGAGGACTGTCAAGTTAACTGTTAATCTGTGGGAGAATGCTGATTGGATGGAGGGGTTTTGTGTGTGAATGTGGAGAGTTTGAAACGATACCGTCAGGCAGGGTGGCCCACTTTCGTGTGGTTAGATGAATCTAAATATAGCTTTAACTGCTGTTACAAATGTGAATGTACTATTTTTAGCACTTTAAAAAGAAAAACAAAGACACACTACCAGGAGACTTAATGACATACAGATTCATTTTAATAAGCAATACAATCAAATTCATTTCAGCAATCAGCCTGCTGATATTGAGAAGGAAATTTCATGATTTCAGCTGGATATATTATTCACTATCAAACCTTGACAAACAGGGATAAAAAATACAGAATTATTATTCCTCAGATAATAAATGAAAACACATTAAAATGCAACCTTGACTGTAATTTGCTGTCACCAATTTTGTGCGTGGGTTTACAAGGAGGCAGCGTGTGTGTGGTAACATTGACACAAAAAAACCCCCAAAAACCCAAAAATGGACTGAAGCTGTGACAGAAACAACACCTTGGCATTAACAGCAATGTTTCACAACATCTGTAAGCACCTATTGATGATGATGAGAGTTAAAAACAGTTATATTTGTACAATAGAAAGAGGTTTCATCAAGTCATTTCTTTTCCATTGTGCTCAGCCCCATCATGTGTACCTTTTGCTTTCCTTATGTTTAGTTGTACATCAGCAGAGCCAATATAGTCACGAAGCGGACTTTAGTAATATGCAAGTCAAATCTACGTCCTCTTCAAAAATGACATGTCTCCTCTTTGGTCAACACAGAACATGACTCGCAGAATAACACAGCCGACATTAAAGAAAATATTTCCTTGAAATTACAGCAAGAAAAACTTGACCCTGTCCTCTCCAATGGATATACACAGCATTCAGAACTACACTGTCTGCATTAGCAACATCAGCCGCCTGCAGACTGGCACCAATGGGCTCAACTTGGTATAGTTGCATCTGAACTGGCTCCACTAGAAAGAAAAACAGTCCGTGTGATTTGTGTAAAACTACTCATGGAGTGCATCATAAAATTCAAGAAAGAGACATGTCAAAAATACAAAACATTCATTTCCAATCTGCCCAAAAACAAAAAAGCACCCATATTGACTTTTTGCTGACATAAAATGTTTGGATTTGACATGATTGTCGCAAAAAATACAAACCCATTCAAAGCCTTTTAGTAAAAAATACACTTATCATCGAAGACTGAATTTGACAAACTGTAGGTAACTGTAAGTTATCTTTAATATTTGCAAGTTCATTTGATGTCATTTGTTTTGTTTTTTTAAATATTTTAAAATGGCCTAGTCCAAAATATCTACAGAGCTCAGAAATACACAGTAATTTAACTGGTGTTGAAGTCAAGGAGCCCCATCCAGTGGAGTTAATGATGAAAAGACGCATTTGAGACTCAAAAGTGTTCCCAAGGGGAAGATGGATCTTTACATTGTACGGGACCGGTGTGAGTCAGGTTAAGGTTTAAGTTGGAAGCAGATACTAGGATACAGTTCATCAGGGCTGGACTGCTGTAGGGGTCCCTACTGTTCACGGTCGTGTGTGTGTGCAGGCGTTGAACAAACCCATCCGGACTTCACAAAACCCTACAAGAGAAAAGGATTGGCAATTAGAAGAAACATATTCTCCAGTTTTTTTGGATTGCAAGGTTGCAGCATATACTGTGTAATATCTCATGCACCAAGTACAAAACTCGTGATATGCCTTTACTTTCTGTTCTCAGACTGAATTTAACATTAAATTAGGTAATCATACATCATCTAGGCAGCACGTAGGTCCGCTTAAATTTGCCCATAGGCCTAAATTGTCCCTTAACCAACCTGTGCTATACGCTCTCCATATCCTCGCTGCTGTTGCCCTCCTCCTTCAGAGCCTCTCCTTCATTGGCAGCCTCCTCCACATGGGCCAACATATCAGCCATTAGTGCCTCCTCCAGCCTTTTCCTCACACTGTACACCAGCTCCTCCTGTTTCCTACACATGAACACAACAGGAAACTATTACACTTGGCAGTTACAGCTGCCTTTAAACAGCCATTGAATCAGCACACAACAGATGGTGTTTTTTTTCAGGGTCACTTGTTATTGGTACTGTGGGATTTCTGAGCAGACTCAACTTGATGAACTTTTGGTGAATCTAAGATGACAAAAGGCGACAACGAAATCCTCAAGGTCATTTCAAATTTGGACGATTTCTCCATTATTTCCTTGCAACTCATGCCTTGTATAGGAATTATTGTGCTTCCGCATGTAAAATGGATGCCAGTACCTCATGAACTGGTAAAACAGATAACATGAGACATTGTTCACACTGCCTGAGTAGTTATTTCCTGTTTTCAAACACACTGAAGGAGCTCTGAGCCCGATTTGTAACACGGCTGTGTCGCAGGCACACATACTGATACATTTTGCTAAAAGCAAAAACGGGAACTGCATTTTAAAGCCGACTGTGTATTGGCTCGAGCTGTGAACAATCAGGATCTAACGCTGCAAACAAACAGGTGATCCTTTTGTGGAGGTGTTCTGTGATTGCCTACCTGATGTCCTCATCAGTGACTATGAAGGCCTTGCACAGCGGCTGCGCTGTGTTGAGCCAAACTCCCGGGTTTTTCTCCACAGCCGCAGACAGCTGACCGGTGATAGGAGCAGCGCTGGTGTGCAGCGCACTCGCAATAGCCGACAGCAGAGTCTTGTCTGTGCAGCCTGGACCAACACCTGAGAGGAGAAACAGGGTGGATAGAAGATATTTTAAAGAAACATCACAGCTGTTAATGTGCTCACGACAACTTATAAATACAAAAAAATATTAGATTTCAATGTTTAACTTGTTTATATTACCTTGCAGGCCTTTAGGCAGTTCCATTGTTTTCACCAGCTCCTCTGCAATGTCATAAGCATTAAGACCACTAAGTTTCTTCTCCCAGAATAGCTGCAGACCAAAAAAAAAAAAAAAAAAAAAAAAAAAAATAGGAGTTAGATTAGCTGCAGGCAGTTTGGCAGAAAGAAATCCAACCAGTTAAATGAAATGCCGCAAACAAATCCACCATCTACACAGCTCAAGTCTGGCTCATCCGGTTTCAAGGTTGCACATTTCCTTCAGACAGAGCAGCTTCAGAAGCAACAGCATCAGATAACACATGATTCAGGTTTGTATCAGGTATGTACGGGCGACGTTAACAGCAAAGGGCGGAGGCTGCTCACCTGTCGGGGCTGGTCGACGGCTTTCTGAGGATCCGTCTTCACTTTGTTGTTTGGGTGGTTGGTCACCTTGGTAACAGGCTGCTTAAAGATGGAGGCTGTCTGTCTGACTGGGAGTGACGTGTTCAAGTCAGGTTTGCCCTTAAAAAAATAAAACAGAAAGGGAAGATGAGGAGAGGATGGACAAAAGGATTTAAAAAGGAGCAGAGACAGAATATGACATGCTTTTCCACAAAACTGTTGATCGCAACCGCGCCAGAGGACGCGAGGCTTCAAATTCACAGTTTTTAGTCGCTTATGTAAGTGCTCAAGACAGTTATCTGAAATGATCCAGTGCATGAAATCAAAGCTCATTTGTGCCATCAGCCATGAGGCTCCACAACGCCACAGCACCCAACTGACACTCTGTTCTTGATGATATTTTTGACATTTATCTAGTTGTAAATAGTTACCATATACTGATTGTATATAGTGTGCATCTCTTACATTCCTCTGTGCTGCTATATCAACCTGAATTTCTCCTACAGGGGATTAATAAAAAGGTATCTTAATTCTGGCTGGAAAAATAAATAACTTTACTGTTGCTGCCTTTTATGAACACTCTGCCACAGGGTATGCTGTATCTCTTTAAATTTAATACAATTATTCCAAACTGTTCACACCACCCTGGGTCCATAAGGAAAAAAAGAGATCATTACATAAAATTTCACCTACAGTGCTGGATCTATTAACTCTTTACCATAGTACAGTAAGTGTTCTCGTGCCAAACAGTGTCCAGGCCACCGTCAGTGAGCCTGTTTGTCTCACCTTGTTCTGGTTGTTGTTATCATAGCGCAGTCTCTGGCGGTTCTTGTTCAGCTTGCTCATCAGCATCTTCCCCGTCCGGAAATCAAAGGAGCTTAGGTCCATCTGGTTGCCAAGGTAGCGGGCCAGCTGAGGCTTGCTCCGAAACTTCTTCCCAGATGGACTGGCAGGGAGGTAGACACACTGGGTAAGACTATGCTACCAGAATTGCTTACATAAAAATAAACAAGGTCAGAACAAAAGACAGACAGACAAAGACAGAAAAACCAAACGGAGGTGACGGCAGGGAAACAAAACGGACAGGTCACGGGTCAAAATACACCAAACACAGCAGACAGAAAATCACAAAACAAGGACCACAACATGCAACAAGTCCAGAAGCAAACGAGAAACAGAGCACATCCAAGTGGTAAAAGACACTGAAATCACATTACTCTGTGAAATGAATGAAATCTTTGATGAACACTCTGTATAAGCCCTGTTATCTACTAAAAGCTGCACACATTTTAGTATGAGTAGATATGGCTATATATATATAAAAAAAGAAACATACTCAACAACATAGTATACACAGCCTTAAAATGAATATCCAGTGAACACAATGTAAACATGGCAACACTAACATTTGATCAAATGTTTCAGAATGGAAACATTGTATCTCCACTTGTGGGAGGCAACAATATATTTAGCCTGAGCAATGACAAAGGAACAACTGTGGGTGGATACGTGCTAGTAACTCATGCAAATGTCTCTTACATCACACACCACAGTTAACACCAGTAGGATTGTACAGTTAGCCTACCACAAACTATACAACCGACCCGCCTCCCCCCTCTCTTGCCTCTGTTCCTCATCTTGCTCTTCTCCTCTGCTAAATGAGAACAAATCTGGCGTTGTTGATTCACTTCAATGGGAAATAAAGAGTATTAACTGAGATGAGTTTTATTCATCAAAAGGCCTCGCCAGGCGTGAGTTGCTACTACTAGCCTGCACGCTTGGACAGGCTCCTTCTTATCCCAACACTTGTGAGAGGAGCTGGCCTGGCTGGCCTTGTTGCCCCGCTGCAAACAACCTCCCCCTCCCCTTCCCATCCCAAACTTTACACCGTTCCCCCCTTATCACACTCCTGTCTGTTTTCAACGTCCGCAAACTCGGTGTCTTGTGCACCTATAAGTTTTGCAAGGCCTCGTTCGTTTAGTACCTAAAATAATAGACATCGCTTTTTCCAGCTGACAAACCCGACTTTCTGGTCACTTCTTCCATTTTCCAGCCCTTGGGGAGAGCAGTGCAATCCCACCTTTTCTTCTCCATTTCCCGCGCGAGTAGCCTATAAATCCACTAAAAGTTACTGCGAATAACCAGATTGGATTTTTTGATTTTTTTGGATGGCAGGCCTATCGCTTCTCACGCTTTTGTTTCGACCATGTTACAACATGCGCCCTCAGTAATGGGATCTCCCTGCTAACAACATCTCGTCTCTTTGTCGTCGCGCAGATCGCTCCGCCGCGGACCTCAGCCACATCACCACCTGCCTGTATCGCCGGGGCACGAGGGCTACATCCGCAAGGAAAACATAGGACAGCGCGGCCGCATCAAAACACCGCGAGGCAGTCAGGACGAGACAGGAAGTTAGGAGATTCGGACTTCATAATAAAACTACATATTTGTCACGGTAAAAACACATCAAACGTGCAATTTGGTCTCAAAGTCTCAAAAGGCTCCTGTGATGCCCCAACATTAAATTCAGTACACTGTACACTAAGTAAAGTGAACTTATTTCACTGTTTTACCATGTCATTTATCATGAATTTGATTTTTAATACCTTGCAATTTTACTATATTCTATTATTATTCTTCTGTCACTTTTTAATGTAACTTACTCTCAGGTCTCCCTTAAAAAATAGAACTCAGTCTCAATGGGACTTGACCAGATTAAATTGACAAAATGAAGTCCAGCATCTATATAATGTGTAAAATACAGTAAAATCACATACATTTTCTAAAATGCTTAAGTAGTGTTACTACTACGATTAAAAAATACAACTTTAATAATTAAATTTCAATCAAATAGAAAATTATTAATACAATTAAATTACAATTATAAATTACATCAAATTTAAAAAATACATTTTTAATTTAGATGGGTTCATATTTAGATGGGTTGAAATGGTTAATACTGGAAAATCACATAGCATTAACTCTCTCGTTCTTGACCATTGGAAAGGTAGGGAAAAAACAATAATTATTCAAGGACCATTACTAGCTTTTTGCGGAGCTTTCAACTGCATGTACTGATCTTCATCTTGAATTAAAATATTTTTAAAATAATTAGTCTTTGAACCTAGGTTTTATTGTTTTCTACCTGAGCTTTCTTTATCTTAAACTCTTGGTTACTTAACTTAATCAAAAGTGAAATTTATACAGTATGTGTGAAACATACAGAGCAAGAACCCTCAAAATACACATTGTCATTAGTCTTTTGTTTTGAAATGTTCTACCGGAAGTAATGTTTTCTATTCAATCTAGCATGACCGGTGGCTAGCACGACATCAATGTCAACCTATGGGAAACATAAATTAGACTACAGCTACAAATAGACCGTAAATAGTCATCACAAAGATGAAGTGACAACAATCATGGACGCTGCTGAATAATTAAATCTACTACATGTAGTAAAAAAAAGTCCTTCACTTGTAGCTTTCTCGGTAATGTAAAAATGTTAAAGTTTCATGTAAGCTAGCTGCGTGAAATTGGAGAGCCGTTTCACCACGACAATGCCTACCGTTGTCATCCAGACTTGGAGCCGGCTTTTATGAATGAACAAAGTAGATTTAATCGACAAAACATGGACACCATTTTAAAAGCATGTCATGCATTTATGGAGGCTTTGTGTATGTAACAACGATACAGAAACAAATATGATCGCCGTTATACGATTAAAATCTGTCGAAATAGCACACTGTCGACGCAGTACTCAGACTCCGTGCTTAATTAAACATTAACTGTAAATGTCGGGAAAATTGAACCTTATCATGATTACGCTAAGAAACACCGACATCCTAGCTGCAGAACACAGCGTTGCTGTTTTCAAATGCGAGACCACCGAGTCCATTTGCCTAATCGATGGCAAACACTTTCCAAGTATATTATGAAAACGACATATCGCGCATTAAACGCTAACAGTTACAACTGCAATTAACACCCTTGACGGCGATTTCATTACCCTTCAGATGATATACTTACTCGTTTTTATCCATCTTGAAGACACTATCTCGTTTTCTCCCTCTCGCTATGTTAAATCCCTTCTCCCCTCTCCTCTTTCAGTCCCCTCCCCCTTCGATGGGAGAAATGAAAGACATTATCCACGCAAATTTCGCAGTCTGGCTGATAAAATTAGTAAAATGTCTGGCCGAGCAAGGCGTATTCTCAGGGCGCAACTAGGCCCATAATACCTCGGCGAATATGTATCATTCAGCATGCATGAGGTATTACATTATCACAAACTTTACATATGCATTCTGTACTTGTTTTTATTTCACACTATTTTTACAGTACAAATAGTCATGACCATTTAATAAATATCAGGTCAACAAAATCTATGCGTTCACAACTGCTCCATGCAAAAGAAAAGTAAATGCAGCTCATTGCAAACATACTAGACTTGCATATGAAGCACTGGACACAAAATAGAAAATAAAATGGACACACTGGGGTAAATGAAAGATTTATTCACATTAAGTGATACTGAATCAAGAACAGCATTTATACAGAGTGCATCCTGTTGTCCAAACTCCTAACAAGCCCTCAGTGACTGATTGTTGAGCCAGGGCATCCCCCTTTAAGCTTGCGTTGTTTAGCAATCCACCCATGTGCCCATTCCCAAGCTCTGGTCCTGTAGACAGACACACAGCCCATTCAGTAACACAATGTACATAAACACATCTGTTTGAATGTGTGACAAGCATCCTTCCTGTCTCTGAGCTTGGACTTCTGTCAAGACCGCATCCAAGGACGGGTTCAGGGGATGATGGGAGTCATCAGAATGAATATCATGAATACTGCCTGGGATTTAGGTTGCAATAACAGTATTATAGCACTGATATTATACTTGATCAACGTAGGAAAGCTCTAATGGTTAGTACCAAAATGATTGTACAAGTTCTGCTAAATGCATCATTTTTCTAAACCTTTATCTTGTCATAAACTGACCCAGTTTCTATTTTAAAACAAATCTGACCCATTTGCAAAGCTTTAGATTAGACAGAACCATAAATCTTTTGTGCTAGAACAGTTGTTGTCTAACACCCTGCACAAAAGCAGCTTGATCTCTGTGGCCATTCTTCCTAACACCTACAGTAAGCTTTGGTTAGTGAGCACTGAAGATTTTTTAGAATAACATTTCTGACCTCGGTATGGGGCTGCCTGTGCAGATGCACGAGTGGTGAATAGAGTTCCAACAAACTGTCGGGTGTAAGCAACTTTAACCAATACTCAGAACATTAATTTGAATGTTCAGTTCCAACACCTGGCATGACCTACACCTGTCTGCATCTTATCTTGAGTACATGGGTGGGGCTTACAATCCAAATGAACACAGCAAACAGAGCATGTGAGTGAAAGCTTGTTTAGAAGTGCTGCTTATAACAACAATACACTCACAGTTGTGTTAGTTGTGTGGGACTTTACTCATCCTTGAACTTCCCTCTAATGTATGGCACATAGTCTAGAACTAATCGCCAGTCTGTGAAGTGAATGAGCGCCACTCCGCCAACTGTTCCCCAGGCAACCATATTTGGTACCCTAGATGGAAGAAACCAAAGGCATTCATAAATGAGAGAAATCTAACCAAACCACTGACACATATCAAGAGCAACTTGGACAAGTATACTGCTTAACTCAGTCCGCACAATGAATTTAGGAGAGAGGACTTTGGATTCAACATGCACACTTCCTATAGTCTATATACAGTAATGGTGGCTTTGACCGACTTCTCCTTATTTTTAAGATCCGTCGGCTGCAGCAGTTTGAACTTTAAAAAAAAAAAATTGTTCAACAGGCAGTTTTCAAAGGTTAATTTTGTTTGTGATTACTAAATGTAATGTATGACTTGGTTTAAGTTGTTGCTCATGGGAAAAGGTGAATTACTGATCGAAGAAAGGGTCAATAAATTAGTCAACTGACAGGAAAACGTTTTGATAACTGATTACTTAGTACTCATTTGTTAGCCAATCAACATAATTCTTACAAATAATCTTTATAAATGACTGTCCATCAGTGGCTCTTTGAAAATTATAGTGCTGTGTATTAAATACAGGTGCTGGTCATATAATTAGAATATCATCAAAAGTTGATTTATTTTTTTTTATTTTTTTATTTCTTTCTTTCAAGCAAAATAGTGTGACAACAGAAAAGATACACAATAATAATAACTTATACACTTATGCTTGAAATAGAGTGGGAAGAAGTAAAACTTATTAAACCCCACCCTAGTCTATCAAAGAATTTATACATACAAAAAATAACTGCTTCCTTCATCAATAATCTCAAAGAAAAAATATTAATTAAAATAATAATAACTCATTTAGAAACAGTGGATGCACAAGTCAAAACCACACATTCATACCATACATACTAATAATATACAAATATTTCCACAGGTAACAATGATAATCAAATACCAACAAGGGTAGACGAAATACCACAAGGGTAAATAAATGACAACTAATCCAACAATCTGCACAACATGAATACAATCAAACCTCATTGTAATGGAACCAGACCTTTCGTTTGTAAAGATGTTTGAAATTGTGAATGCCTTGACACTGCTTTAATTCAAGCCCCAGATTATTCCACAAAGTAACCCCACAAACAGACATAGAATAACTCCTCCTGGTGGAACTCGCCATTGGTACCACAAAGTTTCCAAAACCTCTCAAACTGTACGACTGCTCCTTATGAGAAAACATATTTTGAATGTTCACAGGTAATAAATAGTGATACGCTTTGAACATGAACTGTGCATTATAAAATTTTACAAGATCCTGCATTTTTAATAGCTTTGATTTGAGAAAGAGAGGATTTGTGTGTTCAAAATAGGCGGACTTGTGTATAATTCGTATAGCTCTTTTCTGTAGCAAAAATTATTTCAGTAATTCCATTCAAAAAGTGAAACTTGGATATTATATTCATTGAACTGAAAAGTATGAGCATGTACAGCACTCAGTACTTAGTTGGGGCTCCTCTTGCCTGAATTACTGCAGCAATGCGGCGTGGCATGGAGTCAATCAGTCTGTGGCACTGCTCAGGTGTTATGAGAGCCCAGGTTGCTCTGATAGTGACGTTCAGCTCTTCTGCATTGTTGGATCTGGCGTATCGCATCTTCCTCTTCACAATACCCCATAGATTTTCTATAGGGTTAAGGTCAGGCGAGTTTGCTGGCCAATTAAGAACAGGGATACCATGGTCCTTAAACCAGGTACTGGTAG